TACCCTTGCACCCACTGTAAACCAGGCAGCTGGACAGGAGAAGGCACTGACCCACACGGGCCATTCACTGTCTCCCTCCCCTGGGACTGTAAACCAGGGGAGCTAGCTCATCTCTAATGAAAGTAAGACCACCTTGCGACTGTGAGTGGCTGCCCCTCTGCCATGCGTAGGGAGAAAGAATGGCAGAGACTGCAGAAGAGGGAGCATGAGACCTGTGCGGAGCAGGCCGCACTCCAGCAAGACATCAGCTCCTGAGGCCCTGCTGTGCTCCAGCACCTGGGCACCAAGGGAAGCGTCAGCCTTCCAATAAGGCCCGCTGGCACCAAGTCCAGAGGAGATTACTATGTGACCAGCTGACTCAAGAATTCTGCACCCTCGGCAGCACACAGACCGGAAAGACAGCGATTCTATATGAAGCCCCGAGGGCGCCTCTTCTGCTGTACAGGGATACTCTGAGGATGACACACGCCACAATACAGCCGTGTGACACACAGGGTTTCCACATCTTCCCACTTGCCAGGGCTATTCCCAGACCAGAACGCCGCCTCTCCTGCTATTTGTTCCTGTGGGCAACAGTACCCGGCCAGCAGGGTGTCTGCATGGTCTGCTGTGATTCGGACACCTGCCGGGTGCTCCAGTGTCTGCACTCCCCTGCAGCTGTGTCAGGACAGCCTGATATCCTGCTGAAGCCTGCAGTCCCCCACGATGGGTCTCCCATGCTCAGAGCATCCCCTACACCGACCTCGGCGCCTGCCACAGCAAGGCTCACAGGTGTGGAGAACACACACCACTCTGCTTGCACACCCAGCACCGTGCTGGACCTCTGCAGACACATCAGGAACCAGCAGGAGCCCAGAGAAAGAGGTATAAGCATCTGTGTGGTTCTGAGGGGCATCCGACCCCCAGAGCTCAGGCAGAGGAAGCAACCCAGGCGGCAGAGAGCAGTGCCAAGAGTTTCCTTTAAAACTGAGGAAATGTTTCCCTCTACAGACTTCACTCCAGTGCCTGAAGGGTCATGAAGTGAGACTTCATTTAGGGGGAAAGATGTCAAAAAGCCACGGAGAGGGGCTGAGGCTGGGGCTCAGCGGTGGCACACTTGCCTGGCATGTGTGAGGCACTGGGTTTGATTCTCAGCACTACATATCAATAAATATAATAAAAGTCTATCTAACTAAAAAAAAAAAAAGTGATGGAGAATTAAGTGCCTCAAGGGTATTAGGGTGAAGTACAAAGCGCACAGGAAAGAGACTCGCATTTCCTACACTTTTCCCCTCCCCCACAACGGCTGACCTCTAAAAGGTGCCTCACTGGATGGGGTGGGGGTCGAGTTGACAGGCAGAGCACCTGCCTGGATGCACACACCATGGGGTCAGTCCCCAGCACCACATAAATAATAACATGAAACTCGATTAGAGAGAAACAGTGATCTAACACTTTAGTGACAAGCTCAGATTTATACTGAAGAAAGCCAGCATTTTAGATTTCAGTGTTATGGAAAGAAAACCAAACTTTCCTATGTCGAAAGACAAAAATAAAAATATACCATGAATTATGACTATATTTTAATTCCTAAGCTACCTTAATGACCAATTTTCTTTAATGGGCATATGTTCCTTTTACAATAAATTTTAAAAAACATATGTCATGGCTGCACATTATAAGGGGAACTTACTTGAATACTATCATAATTAAAAAACAGGTCATGAAATGATATATGTGATATTCCTTTCAGTTGTTTAAGAATGCACTGGCAGATAACTGGAGGAAATGTCACAATACTAATACCGGTTGCATTAGATGAAATGACAAGTCACTTACTAAGGTCACATGGCTAAAGGGGAGTAGAGCTGAACGTATCCCATTTAACTTTCTCATCCCGGCTGACTTAGAGGGTATAAACTGCTAAACCCTCACGAGGTCAGAAGGATCACTGCTCCTCCCAGCTGCAGCCCCCACTCCCAGAGAGAAGCAGAGGAAGGCCAGGCACAGTGGCCACACAGGTAATCCTGCTGCTTAAGAGGCTCAGGCGAGAGGACTGCATGTCTGAGGTCAGCCTGGGCAGCTCAGCGAGACCCTGATGGAAAGTGAAAGAGAAGGCCTGCCTAGGCGACGTGGCTCAGGGGCCGAGCGGGGCCTGCCTAGCATGGCATCCCCAAACAAAAGAGGGAAGAAGAAATTTGATATTGAATGTGGTTGAAAATTTCAATAAAAATAAATGAGAGCTGGTTCACATTTTTGAAAGTGCTACACATTTAAAAAAAAAAAAAAAGCTCTTTGAATTGGCTCTAAAAGGTACTATTCAATTCAACTAAAATGTACTGTGCTCCCAAGGAACTATGAGGGGCAAAGACGGGTGCTCTCTTGCTTGGCCCTTAAAGCTCCAGAAGGAGAAAGAAACATGCACTTGATTCTGCAACCAGGGGCCGGCAGGAGCTGTGCCCGGTGGTCTCTCCACCCCGGGGAAGACAAGTGCGTCATGGATTCCTTTTTGCAGGACAAGACCTCTGCAGGGAGGGCTGCTTTCTTTGGCTTCTCTTCCATACCCCCTGAATGAACCCAACTGGCTGTGCAGGAGGTCTGTCTGGAAAATGTCCAGAACCAACCATGACAGCACGGCAGGCCTGCTCACAAGCCCTGACCTCAAGCAGGTCACCGCCTCAGCTGCCACCCAGGGAACACTGTAGGGAGCCACTCACAGGACGCTTCAGGAGGGCACTTAGCGATGGGTGGTAGGAAGCGCTCTTTTCCAGCAAAATAACTGGCAGAATCTGTAATTCAGAAGCATCAGGAGAGTTCATTCCCAGGCTCACACAGGATAGCCACCCAGACTGAAGCAGAACCCAGAGGACTGTCCTCCCACTCCACCACGCCCGCCCACCCCACGACAGAAGGCCCGCAACACCCGCATTCCAAAGAGTGTTTGCCAAAATAAAGGTCTGAAGGTAAAAACAGAATGCTGTGTTCTTTGTGCCAGTCAGGATTTCATACTTGTCTGGTATTCAAATAAAATTTTATACAGTTTTCATGATTATAATCAAAACCATCAAATATTTAGACGAAGGAAAATTCACAACTATTTTACACACAGAAAAATAGGACGCCAGGTTTCACGGGTGCACTACCTGAAGCAGCAGCAAACCAGGAGGCAGGAGGTGGGGGAGCAGAGACACACCCCCGCACCTCAGAGCCCAGCAGGCTCACAGCAAAGCGCAACCACCCGAGCTTCAGACTCAAGGATGAAATTAGAAAATTTAATAAAAATTAGATAAACAGAAATATTTTACTTCAAAGGAAGAAAAAACAGCTGGATCATCATTGAATTTGACATGCAAAGTAAAAACAACACAGTCTATTTAGAGACACGCTCTGTCCAAAGTGGTGAAGTGGAAGAAACACTTTTACAAAGTGGTGTGAAGAGCTCCTGCTGGTCTCCCCCTCTCTGCCTCTCCCCAATACATTATCCATTTTCAAAAAAAAAAAAAAAAAAATCACCGTTGATAGACTAAATATTAGAACCTAAGAATTTCATTCCCTGCGACTTAAAATCAAGAGAAAAAAGAAATTTAAGAGAAATAATTCTGACAATCCCCACACTGACCCGAGGTGCTGTCTTCTGCACTTTAATGAAATGTGACTGTCACTGTAGTTAAGAAGGAATGTCACAAATAGAGAAACGCACACTCTCTGAAATGGGATCCTGGTACAAACTTGGTACCAATTAGTTTGTAAAATACCTACCCTTAAAAAGAACTGCCCACCCCCCACAGATAGACTATTTCAATTTCATTTTATTATGAAAATGAGAGAAGCAACAGGAAATGGCAGCAGCAGGTGTCTGATGGGTTCCAAGAGCAGGAGGGTCCACAACAGGCCATCATGACCTCAGTGGTTGAAGATCTAACCTTCCCTCTGGTGAAACCTAGACTTCCCGCCCACCTGCTCAGGAGTGAGGAGTCCCTATCCAGCATTTTTCTCACAACAGACACAGTGCCAAGGTTTTCCATCTTTCACTCTGTGATATGATCATTTACCAACAGTCAAAGCGGACATTAAAAACCAAACCAGGCTCAGCAACAGCAAGGCGCTAAGCAACTCAGTGAGACCTGTCTCTAAATAAAATACAAAATAGGGCTGGGGATGTGGCTCGGTGGTCGAGTGCCTCTGGGTTCAATCCCTGGTACCAAAAAATCAAAACCATACTAAAGTATTCATTGACCAATCACAGTAATAATAAAAACTCACCACTATTTTTTGTATGTCATGACTAAAGTCGTGCCATCGATTTCTATGGCACACAGGAACCGTTCTAATCAAGAGCTCAGCTAACAGCCTCTTGGTGTGAAAAAGATACTTGGCCATGTCTGAGAATGCCCCACTAAGTGAATTTCACTGCATTTTAAATCTAATTTTATTTACTACGCTCCCTCAATTGAAGAAATGGTAAACACTTTTTGAAAAAGCTGCCTCCCAAGTGCTGGCACCGTCTGCGGGCTCAGACTCTTGGATGTATAGGCCATCAAGAGTCCTGCTCTTAGGCTCTGAGTGTTTTTTGTACTTTGAAATATGGACTCTGGAAACCATCGGGAGTCGGGTGGTCAGTTGGTGACGCGTTTCCCACTGGGATCAGATCTGATTGGTATGCATCCCCGCTGTCTACACACGCCAGTGAGTGGGCACAGCACACACGTGCTCACACCCACTGTTTACACCAGGGACGGAGGTCGGACGCTGTCGGGAGTCGTCCTGTTGGGCAGCCGGGAGCGCAGCACGAAGCCATGGCTCCAAGGCTCGTTTTAATCCCCACCTTCCAGGTCAGGCCAGGGCCAGCTTCTTCTGATTAAACTGACTCCTGGGCATCGGCACTCCCTCCCGTCCCAGCACACGCACCAAGGTCCCCGCTGATCAGCCACTTTTGAAGTGCTCGGCAGCTACCTGCGTCTCTCCCTCATTCCAACTTACTCTAAATGAGAGCATGTAAAAGTCCAGTGGACAGAACTCACTTGGCTTTCTGAATCCACACACAGTAGTCTGAGATGTAGAGGTCGTTCAGAATGTAAGCAGGGTCATTTTCCTGAAATATTTTGTGAATATCCAGTAGACACTTGAGAACTGCACTTTTACCTGAAGGCAATCGAAGAAAGAAAAAAAGAAGAAAATCAAATTATCCTAAAGAAAAAACACCTGATATTTTTAACTGAGAAATTCAGACACCAAGGAATAATATATCTAAAGCAGCTTAGAGTTTTAATCATTTCTTAAGAACACTTTTTTCTAAACAATATTTTTAATATTCCTTTAGTATATGAAAAAATACCAGTCACATTAGGTCCAAACCCTTTCTTTCCTTAAGGATTATGAACACTCTCTATTGTTACAGTTGATTAATCATAGCTATCATAAAATATCATAAAAATTCTACCGAAATAACTGTCAATTAAACAAAAGGAGAGTTTTCCAAACTAAATGGCTATTTAAGAGCATCATATTTATTTATTTATTTTTGGTATCAGGGATTGAACTAGGGGTGCTCAACCACTAAGGCACATCCTAGCCCTTTTAAAAACTTTTTTTAGATGCTTAGGGCCTCTCTAAACTGCTGAGGCTGGCTTTTTTCTTCTTTTTTAAAAAAAATTTATGACAGTAGAATGCATTACAATTCCATTACATATATAGAGCACAATTTTTCATATTTCTGGTTGTATACAAAGTATATTCACACCGATTCATGTCTTCATATCTGTACTTTGGATAATAATGACCATGACATTCTACTCATTAATAACCCCCTGCCCCCTCCCTTCCCCTCCCTCCCCTCTGCCCTATCTAGAGTCCGTCTATTCCTCCCATGCTCCCCCTCCCTACCCCACTATGAGTCAGCCTCCTTATATCAGAGAAGACACTGGGCATTTGGTTTTTTGGGATTGGCTCTGAGGCTGGCTTTGAACTGTGATCCTCCTGCCTCAACCTCTTGAGCCGCTGGGATTATAAGCGTTTGCTCTGGCCAGAGCATCATACTTTTTTTTTTTTTTTAAAGATGGACAGACTATATTTATTTACTTATTTTTATGTGGTGCTGAGGATGGAACCCAGGGTCTCACAAGTGTGAGGCAAGTGCTCTACCGCTGAGCTATAACCCCAGCCCCGCATCATACTTTTAACTAGATAGTATTTTTCAACCCAAGCTTTCAAAATAACAGAGAATTAAATTCAGCTTACAAACTTCTTTACTCTTATGGCAACATTTTTCATCAAGGAATTACCTAGAACTATTAAAAGTTTTCACCTTAAAAAATTGAAGAAAACTTAGATTGAAACTAAAACATCATAGCACTAGTTCAGAAATGATCTGACGAACATCACTTGAAAAGGAGCCACCAATTATTAAAGTCTTGTTCACCCTAATTACCTCCTCCTGGTTGTTAAATGAGCCTAATTTTAATCCAACCAACGGGTACAAAAGGAGCCTCTTACAACCCCACAGTTCCCTAGGTGTTCCAAACTCCATGGCGTCCCCTGAAACTTATTAACCACGGGGCAAATTACTACCCCTGGGGTAAGAGCCACTTCCTCTGTGTGCAGAACAGTGACTCCAGCTCACAGCGTCCCCAGGTCCCCCCGCTCTGAAGCGTGAACATGCCTGTGCGGATTTCAGGGAGCCCCTCGCCTTGTGTCCGCTGCATTTCCATCTGACTTTTAGATTTCACAAGAACCATGAGGGAGATGATGACCCGGCACTTTAGTACAATCCACACTAGCAAGCCAGCTTGAAAGAGCCGCCACTCTGCTGCAGAAGCGCAGACCAGGGCCAGAGGGAAGCCTGCAGCGGCCCAGGCCTGCCATCAAGCGCCATGAGAGGGATGGGGTCACAGGCCACCCAGCCACACCCTCCCAGGCGCTTCTCCACTGGCCCTGGCGATCCTTCTTGGATATGCCCTTCCCCCCACCTCCTGAGCCCCTGTCCCATTCAGACACACAGCGGCTCAGAGAGGATCCCAGCACAGCAGGCGCGGGCACACTGCTTTCCCTCTGGCCAGCTTCCTCCCTCTCTCCTTTTGGGAGGAGAGGTGCAGAGCAAAGCTTAGCTTCATGATAACCTCCTCCCTTGACCGTGTCCCTTGACTGCAACAGGAGGAGAAGCGACGCAGCTGGCAGAGCATGGGGAGAGGCCTCAGCTCCAGCGTGGGCACTGAGGACAGACCCTGCCTCAGAGTTTCATGGAGAGCAGTGTGGTGCTAACGTCACTCATTCATAGGACCCTCGGCCCAGCGAATTACAGACCTGCATTCAGCAGATTCACTCCTGCTAAGAGCCTCACAAGTTCAACTCTCCCCCCTAAGAGTGAAGTACTAACAGTGAAAAGAAACGTTAAGATAAAGGGAAATATCAAATAACAAAAAACAAGAAATAAATAGATGCGGTAGCGCATGCCTGTAATCCCAGCAACTCGGGAGGCTGAGGCAGGAGGATCCCAAGTTAAGGCTAGACTCAGCAACTTAGCAAGGCCCTGTCTCAAAATAAAAACAGGCTGGGGATGGGGCCTAGTGGTAGAGCACCTCTGGGTTCAATCCCCAGCACAGCAAAAAAAAGAAAGAAAATATTTTTTAAAGTAAAAACATTGCATTGTATGTGCATGTTCTGATCCCTATTTCTTCAAAAATGAAAAACAGACATTAGAAATCCTAAACGTGCACGTGCCCAGACAATAGGGATCAACAGCACCTGCCTCAAAGGTCACTGAGCAAGCTCGAGAGCCGGGCACCGCCCCTCCCTCCTGCAAGGGGAGGGCAGCCGGCCATCCTTCAACGTTCCCCCTTATTTGCGCAATCATCCTCAAGAAAGAGTTTGGCAAAACTCAGGACGTGCTCCACTATGAAGCCGACCCTGAAACACTGACTGAGTAATCGTTACAAACTTTGATCCGCATTTAAAATCACTTCGTTTATGTATCTACGTATGTATTTCCGAAAGGGTTTGGTCCAGAACTCCTGGGCTCATGCACCCTTCCTGCCTCTGCCTCCTGAGCAGCTGGTGAACCGTGCTCTCAGCATCTTGGTGACAGACACAGTAAGAGATAACCAGGGGACTGGCAGCTGACAACCTGGAGCAAGACTCTGAACCACCCGCCCTGCACCTGCCTTGCTCTGTGGTCTGACTCCATCTCCACAGGGGCCTGCCGCGTCACAGCCAGGGTGCCCCAAGGTTGTGGGGGTGGGGAGAGGAGGGTGGGGTTCTGTCCTCTGCACTGACTGCCCCAGCAGGTCCCCAGGCCTTCTCCACTCATCCAGCAGCTATTGGCCAAGGAAGAGCTGGCCCTCTTCTGGGCTGTCCCCTGACCAGTGCCAGAAGCCTTGGAGGACCCCCCAGTCCCTGGATCCCAACGGGCTTTATCTAGTGACGAGCTTGTCACACGTCCTGGGAGCACAAGAAACTGCTAAGGCCCAAATCTAAGACAGTTATTTCTGCTCAAAGGCACTGCAGGAAAGTGACATTTTCAGGTAGGTCACTACCTGGTCCAAGGCAGCAAAAAAGGAGGCACCTATGGAGACAGCATGGCAGGTCTTCTCACTGCAGGCCTCCAGCCCCCAGGAGTGGCACAGGAGTGGCTCCCTCAGACTCCCTTAGGAGGGCACTTACACTAGCACCCTGGTGTTAGTGGCACAGACGGCTGACTTCAGGAAAGGATCGTAACAATAACACGTGGAAACGTAATGACCACACATTAGGAGACACTGCGTCCCTAAAAGCCGGGGGCGGTTCACAGGGGTGCACACGGCCTCTGGCTCTGCTGTCACAGGAAGGTGAGGTCAACGCAGCGCGCTTCCCTGCCTGGGCAGACGCGGCACCGCAGGCAGGGTCACACGCCTCAACATGAATACGAGTCGCAGCTGCAGTCAACGGCCATCCTTTGGCTACCCAAAGTCCTCTCAGCAGACCGGGCTTGGCAGTCACCGCCCGACAGACCGGCTCCTGGTTGGAGGCACTTAAGAAATGGCTCCCATCCCCACAAGATGATCAGGGCACTGGATGTTTCAGCTGGCTGAAAGCCAGCTCAGGAGGAGGCGTGCCCGCCACCAGCTCCACATCTCTCTGCAATGCTGGCACCCACGGCAGCCGGCACCGGGCCCTGGGACCGCGTTCCGCCCTGGCAGCTTGGAACTGCTCAAGAGGAGAGGCCGAGGAGGCCGAGGGAAGGGAGGTGGTTATTCTAAAGACCTGAAGGAAAACAGCGTGGTCCTTACTTATAAAATCACCTCAGAATGAAGGCCGATCTCACCATCATCTTCACATCCGTAACTTAGACACCTTGCTGGACTCCTGGGCTCTGATGAGAACTTATGACCAAAACGGTTTCTAAGGACTATTTAACATTAATTTTCATATACCATTCGACTGTAAAAGGGATAAGCTAGAAACATTGTGTCAAATTAATTAAAATTAAGAGAATCAAAGCAGGTAGCCCACTGTAGCATCAGGCTGCATTAGGTCAGAGAATAAAATCAAGTCCCCAATGAGTAACACAGATATACATGTTAAAGTCAGCATTAAAAAAAAAAAAAGCTTCTCAGGGCTGGGGGTGTGGCCCAGTACCCAAAAAAGGAAAGGGGGAAAAAAAAGCTTCTCCATCTGTGTAATTTTAAAATTCTCAAATTTCTCGGATGCTGTTCAAGTTTTTACATTTCTGAGTTGTAAGAAGAAACACATACTTCAAGCAATGAGTTACTATTTTAAGGACTAGTTTAGTCTTATAGCAACTGAAAAAGTACTCCTGTGTTATTAAGATCATATTTATTATTCCTATATTCACAGATAAAATTAACATGAAGCAAACAGCCTGTGTAGATGCTCCCTTTGCTTAGAATCAACAACCTCAACCAATCCCAAGCTACCACCCAGGTCTCAATTGGCCACTACTTCTGGGAACAGAGTTCCAATTCTCCCCAGGCTGGCGTGGGGTCCCTGTGACAGCAGGCAGTGGCGACCCAGTGTCCTGCAGAGAGCACTTCACGTCCGTTACGTCATCAGGCCTGGGAGGACGATGAGTATGGAGACTTTGAAGGAGCTGGCCCAGATCACAGCCAGGACTGGAAACCAGGGACGCGTGACCTGCAGCCGCTGTGCAA